TTTCTTTAAGAAATAAAAATAGAACTTCACTAGAACATATTTCAAAGATAGACTGATATTGAACTAAATTGACATACGACTAGAATGTATCTGAAACTAGACTTGTCTTTAAACTAAATGGACATATAGTAGCATGCATTACAAAACTTCATATATACATTTAAGCCATGGCAGTGTCAAGTTGATACAAAGTCATTGTATTTCAATGACAATTTCACAACCCTTCCCGATCTGGTGTGTTGCGGAATATGAATTTGTGGATGTTCACGTGTTTCATTGGACACTATTGGTTCGCGTGCTTGAACGGACTACTTCGACTGGTCGGATTTGTCAGTGTTTGGGTTGTCTGCATCTAGTTTCGAATCTGGTATATCAAGGTCTACAGGTTGTCGTGGTTGTTCGTTTTTACCTCTGTGGATACGGATATCTTTCCTGTTTCTGCGAAGCGACTGTCCTTCGTCTGTGTTTACTTCGTAAGACCGAATGTTCACTTTGCTAGCAATAGTCCCTTTTGTCCACGATTTTGTTGGATCATTTCGTTTTGGTGTTATCCAGACACGCTGTCCATGTTCTAAATCAGGTAGGTCCTTTGCGTTTCTATTGTAGTACTTGCATTGTTGATGCTTGTTGTGCTTGATTTCCGCATGTGCAGACATTGGGATTTTTGGTTCAAGAAGAGCTGGGGTTGTTGGTAGTTGCGACTTTGTTCGACGGCACATTAATCTCTGTGCAAGACTACTCTGCATTCCCTCTGTTGGTGTGTTTCGGAAGTCAAGAATGCTGAGGTAGACATCCTGTTGAGAGTTGCGAGCTCTTTTCATTATACGCTTTGCAGTTTTCACAGCCTGTTCCACCTTCCCGTTACTTTGCGGATAGTTTGGTGATGACGTGATGTGTTGGAATTCGTATTCCAATGCGAATGTAGCAAATTCCTTGCAGCTGAAATGAGGGCCATTGTCTGAAAAGACAATGTCTGGGATTCCATAGCGAGCAAAATGATTCCTCAATTTCCTGATCACCGTTGTAGGTTTTGTGTTCTCCAAGAAATCTATTTCCCAAAAATTTGAAAAATAGTCAACAGTCACTAAATAGTCATTTCCAGCAAATGAGCACAGATCAGTTCCAACCTTCATCCAAGGTCTGTCTGGAACATCATGAGGTATCAGGGTTTCCTTTTGTTGTTTGGTTTCAAACATCTGGCAAGTTTCACAACTTTGTATGTACTGAGAAATTTCAGAGTGCATTCCAGGCCAGAAAACATACTCCTTTGCTCGGCGAAGACATCCTCCAATTCCCAAGTGCGAGGAATGTATTCGCTGCATCATATCCAAACGGATTGCTTTAGGGATTATTGCACGCTCACCCCTAAATAGAATTCCATCCTGAACACTCAGCTCATCTCTAAAGTCGAAGTATGGTCTTGCAAGGTGAGGGACTTCTTGTCGCTTCTGAGGCCAACCATGAAGTATGACATCCATGAGAACTTGTAATGACTCGTCCTGATAGCTGTGCTTGCGAATCTCGGAAAGTCTAACATCAGTCATGGGTAAGTACTGCACCATGTTTACAATTTCTAAGTCCCTTTCGAAGCTCGTTGTCCCTGTTTCATTAAGGTAAGCTCGGCTTATTGTATCTGCAAGATACATAGTCTTTCCTGGTTTATAAGAAATTGTGTACTCATACTGCTGTAACCGGAGCAGCATTCGTTGAAGACCTCTGGGTGCTGCTAATAGTGATTTCTTCACGATAGATTCTAGAGGCTTATGATCACTTTCCACATGTACTAAGCGTCCATAGGTGTACTGGTGAAAACGTTCTAAGCCAAATACAATTGCTAGCATCTCCTTCTCGATTTGAGCGTAACGGGTCTCTGCATCCGTGAGAGCTCTGATTGCGAAGGCTATTGGTTGTCCATTTTGCAACAGACTCGCTCCTAATCCTGTTAGCGAAGCATCACATTGGAGTGTCAATTCCTCTTTAGGATCATAATATTTCAAGACAGGACTTTTACAAACTAGTGTCTTGATCTCTTGTATGGCTTTATCATGGGCTTCAAGCCAGCTCCATTCTGCATCTTGAACAGTCAGTTTTCTAAGAGGTTCACAAAGATCGCTAAGCCTGGGAAGAAACTTGCTGAGATAGGTTACGAAACCTACAAATCGTCGAACAGCTGACACATCAGTGGGTGTGGGCATATTTTTCACTGCCTTGACCTTGTCTGGGTCAGCACGAACTCCACTGCTGGTCAGTAGATGTCCCACAAACCGAACTTCTTTGAGTCTAAACTTCAGTTTCTCCTTGTTTAGCTTCAGATTCTTTTCCCTACAGCGTTCCATAAGTGCTCGGAAATTGCGGTCATGATCCCGATAAGCTTCCTCGTCAGTCGCGCCTTCTCCGAAGATCAGAATATCATCATGTACACAACGTACTCCATGCAGTCCTTCTACAGTCTGATTTTGTCGCCGCTGAAATTCCTCTGGCGCTGAGTTTAGTCCAAATGGCATTCGAAGCCATCGATAGCGACCATGCAGTGTGTTGAAGGTTGTTAGCATTGAACTGGCCTTGTCAAGTTGAACATGCCAGAATCCATTTTTGGCATCGGCAACAGAAAATACCTTCGCTTTGTTCAAGTCTGGTAAGAGTTCTTCGGCTGTGGGCATTGGGTAATGGCTGCGCTGAATGGCCCCATTCAGATCACGAGGGTCGAGACAAATCCTTAATTTGTTAGGCTTCTCCACAATGACGAGATTGTTTACCCACGGTGTTGGTTCGGTAACAGGGGTAATTATTTCTTTCTCTGTAAGCCGTTCCAGCTCTGTCTTGAGCTTGTCCCTCAGAGCTACTGGAATTTTCCTAGGGGGATGGACTACAGGTTTTATCGATGGGTCAGTTTGGAGTGAATATGTCCCTGTTAAGCATCCTGTACCATCGAACACATCTTTGTATTCGCTGAAAACATACTCTTCTGTTAATGTTTCCTCAGTAACAGTTAGAATGTTGTCATAATGAATAGTTACTAGTTTCATCCTTTGAATGGTCTGACTGCCCAGTATTGGTGTTGTGTCCTGCTTCACTACAACGAATTCGGTGTCATAGAGTTCTTTGGTTTTGGGATTTACAAGTTTCAGACTTGTTTTTCCTAGGAGCTGGATCCGAGACTTGTCGTATGTAGTTAGTACAGTTGTTGACTTGGTGAGCTTGTAGTAGGATCCGCTCTCATCTAGCTTGCTTATCGGAATAACATTACAACTTGCGCCGCTGTCGACTTGGATCTTTATGGGTGTTTTGCCGATATTCATAGTTGCATAAACATGTTTCTCTGGTTCAGACGTGACACTTCGGATTGTGTCATAGTAGTTTTCATTAGAGTCGGAGTCTGAGTCCTTATCAGTAACTTGATGCAATTTTCTGTTGTATTTACCTGGTTTCTGTCCAGACTTCTGCGTTGACTTTGAATGTTGTCCACACATCGCTTTAAAGTGGTCCTTCTTTTTACATATGTGGCATGTTTCTCCATAGGCTGGGCACTTGAGTTTGCTAGCTTCATGTTTACGTCCGCAATACATACAGTTTTTAGCTAACAATTTTGGTGTCGCTTGAGCACTGCGCAGATTAGTCTTTTGTTTGTAGCCGTTTCCTCTCAGAGCGTGTACTTCTGCTGCTGTTGGAGTCTCAATCTCCTTCATTCTCTCCTTTGACAATTCTGATGCTCTGCATATATCAAGACAGCTTTTCAGTGTTAGGTTCGATTCACGTAAAAGTCTTTCCCGTAGGTGCAAATCTCTAATTCCACAAACAATGCGGTCACGGACTAACGATTCCTCTAAATCGCCAAAGCCACAATGTGCTGCTAAAAGCTTAAGTTCAGTCACATAACTGTAGATTGTTTCCCCACTTTGTTGATTCCTAGAATTAAACTTGTATCGTTCCACACTTTCGTTTTTCATAGGGTTACAATAGGCATCTAACTTCTCTAAAATTACCTTCAAAGTTCTGTTATCTTCAGTATCAGTGAATGTTAGTGTGTCATACACTTCTCTTCCACGTGTTCCGATGAGGTATTTAAGCATTTTCACCTTCTGTTTCTCCTCTGATTCTGCCATAGCTAGGTCAACATAGAGCGAGAATTCTTCTTTCCATTTTTTCCACGTGTGTGCTAAATCTGTAGCATCGAAATTCAGCGTTTTCGGAGCTTTCAATTTATCCATGGCTAGGTATTGCAAAAGATTAGGTTCTTTAGATTATAACGCTGCCACCATGTTTCATATGCGTGCCTGTTCGGGGCAGATGATGCAGGATAAAGACTCAGGATAAACAGAACAACATTTATTAAACCGGAAGTCAACATAAAACACACAGAAGACACAATAGACAAGTCGTACATGAAATCTAATAGACTAATAAAGTAGGTCGTACAAACATTGAGATCAACAAATACGTTACAATTCTAACCAGGAATCAGACTATAATTCTAACTAAAACACATTCTACATCTATTGTTTTATATGTAATATCAAATGTCTGTAAAACGGCAACACATCTAAAAAACTAATCAAAACGCATGCCATCATTTTTAAAAACATGTAGTCAGGAATTCTGAAACATTCTGAAACTGAATTCAGAAGTGCAAAAGCTATGACTGTCATCAAACGTCCAAGGACACATTTCCGTCCGAGAGAGAGAGAGAGAGAGAGAGAGAGAGAGAGAGAGAGAGAGAGAGAGAGAGAGAGAGAGAGAGAGAGAGAGAGAGAGAGAGAGAGAGAGAGAGAGAGAGAGAGAGAGAGAGAGAGAGAGAGAGAGAGAGAGACAGAGAAGGGATGGGGTTCGATCTCCAAAATATATTTTGAATATAGATATTTGTTCTCTATTCTTAATAGAAAGGAAAAATGTTTATAGATTTATTTTACATATTATACATACATGTATGTCTAAATTTATTACAAGCATTTAATCCATTTTTAGATGAAGTTATACTAGATAACCTTTAATGTTGAACCTACCTGTAGAATTACAGAGCATTTTCAACTTATCCGTACAGTCCCGGGCTTTCAAAGTCTCATCCTCGCATGCATGTGCAACACATTGCTTTTCATCATCGAATTTAACAACTTTAAAAGGTAAATATAATTAAGGAATATGTCGGGCATGAAACTATTAAGTGATAATTAATCAATATTAGTCTGTAAATGATTTTGATATGTCGCTTCTGTTCATTTATCATTATCATAGTTATCTTTCCATCGTTTTCAAATTCTTTATAAATAATTATTTTCAATGAAAGTTGGTTTATGTTTAGGTTTTCTTGTGCCATATTCAAAAGAAAAGCTATGTTTCAATTGGATATTTTGAAAAAGGATTGATTCGGAGATTGAGTCGTAGGCAACACCAAAATACTTGCCTATACAATATGACGTCTTATTACGAAACTTTACGGACAATGAAATGCTACATGTATTAAGGTCAGATGAGACGTTCTTCAGAATCTGTTTTGTATATCTTCGTAATGTATAAAGAATATTCAAAATTTTAATAACATTCTGATTTCTAAAACAGTTTCTAAACATTTTTTTTAAAAAATCCAAACACTTAAACATTTGAAATTGGAAAATTATTTTTTCTTCCTCATAGGATTATATAAGAAAAAGTACCCCTGGTATCTTGCAAAAATGCCTGGTAAGGTACCTCAATTTTTTGCGAGTAAACATGTTTAAGTAGCAATACTTCAATGACAAACTCTTAGAAAAATTTATCTATTATTAAGGAACGTCTCGTCTGTCCTTAATATGTATATAAAGAGATTTACTAAATTAAATGTCCTAAATATGAATGCTGTATTGCAAACCATTACACAAACTCTTTAATAGTATAGTAGTTACGTTTATAATTAGTGCTATACAACTGCGTCCTGCAGACGATGAAAGTGTCCTATATTGATGAACGATTTCCTTTTTTTATTGTTTTATTTTTTGTCAATGCTTTACTTGCAATTGATAATTTTATATCAAAACATCTAAAGGTTTCGATTAAACTTTGCAAAATATATGTAAATGAACTCATTCACTTATACCTTAAAGGTAATAAATAATGTCTTTTTACTCAAAATTTCAATCCATCTAAAAATGCACAGCACCTTCATCGCCAGAGTGGCGCAGTGGTACATTTTTGTAAAGCATTTTCTCAAAACTAGACCAGTAAAGAATTTAGGAAGTTGTTTGCATTGTAGCATTCATAGATAAAACTTTTAGTTTATCTCTAAATATACATATAAAATGGAAATCATTTTCCGTAAAGATTGAATTATAAGACGTCATATTGTATAATTTCTATTACCTTCCATTGTTGAGAAGACATTGAATGTCCCATTCCCTCCGCATTCATTGGAAAGGATATCATCTTCTTCATTTGTACAGCGATAATTACAGTTACCTGCTGACAGAGAGGCTGCTGTGATAGGATTTTGAAGACATCGGCATTCATTATTCTATAATTAATTGCAAGTTTAAAATGTCATGAACAAAATATTATAATGTATTAGCATACAATGTAAAATGTAAAAAAAAAAAGCAAAGTATAATGAACATGCATCATCACATACTGCATTATTATATTTTGAGTCAAGATCAACGCAGAATGTAAAACGCAAAATCAAATAAAATTTTATGATTGCTACATTTTGCATTAATACATTCTGCGTTAATTTCAAACTGAATGCAAAAACATCTAATGTAAAATATTATTTGAAAAACATTTTTAATTTTTACATTTAGCCTAATTACATTTTTTTTCCAGAGTCAGCAAGGCATAAAAACGCAAAATGAAATAGCACACTCAATAAGATTAAGAAGAATTTTCACACCAATTGTAATATATTGTTCTATTACACGGGATTTTGTGATCTATGATTTTTTCATTGCATCATAATGCAAAATGCAAATTCAAATTCAAAGGGTCATACATAACTTTTCTTGGCTTGCAGATAATTGCAATTTTATGCATTATCTTTTTGTTGAAATTATTAAACGATATGGAATAAGATGAAGTAAACTGCAATATATATATATATATATATATATATATATATATTAAGTAATTATGTAAGAATTAGTGCTCATACCCTACATATTGAAATGGGGAGATACTCAAGGCCACCTATTCCTAGAGAAAAACGTGTATGTCATTTTTGTAATTTTTTTTATTGAAAATGAAAACCATTTTGTACTTTATTGTCCTAGTTATGATCAATGTAGATTACAATATTACGATATATTCAATGCACAATGTTACATGAAGGAAAACCCTATTATTGACATTATCAATCCTACAAGTATTAGAACTGCTAGGAGAGTTTGTAACTTTTTGAAAAAGTGTTTTGATATTAGGAAAGAAAACCTTCAACAAACCTGATATGCTTTCTTTGATATTTTATTTTATGTATGTTAATTGTTGTATTCATGACTATATGCCAATGTATGATGGAGTTGTCAATAAATGAATTGAATTGAATTGAAGTAAATATGTCTCACAAAAAAATTAATATGTCTTTATTTGGGATATTTCCTATTAAAAAAATACTTTTAGCCACTATATTTGCTTTGTTCGAATTATATCAAGGTAAAGTGTTGATGCGATTGAATTCATTTGATTAAACGCAGTACAGTTAAGGTGCGCAATGGAAATATCGGCTAAATTTTGTATTTAAAAATGTATTCGTAATCGGGATGGCGATTATTTTTAGTACATTATTTATATCGGATAATTGTAATTATGATTATCAACTACATATCGAGAACGATTATATTTTATATTTAGACTAGTTACGTGATGCGGCAGTCCCGCGATTTTAGCACATTGACTTGAAGTATTGATGTTATATATAAATATCACTAGTGCAAGGGCATAACCAAGTTAAATTTCCGAGTTAAGTATATAAATATTTTCAAAAAGCATTGTAGTTTCTAAAAAGTGCTGCGATCCTGTCTAAATTCTGCAATTTCATTGTTAAAATTATACTTTTATGACCGAATGCAATATTTTTTGTTGGTCAGCGGCATGAAATATTGATATAATTGAATTGTTTTTAAGATTTCATTAGGATTGCAGAACTTTTCAGATACCTTAATAGTTCTATAGTTGAAATGTAAAAGCTTACTTTGATCCATGGTGTGTATGCCCTTGCACTAGATCGATTTTTTAAGACCCCCCCCCCCCCCCCCCACATTACCCGCCGATGTACTTGCATACAAATATACGGCAGTGTCAATTAAATACGTAATGTACAGAAAATATATAAATAAAATCGCGAAGAAGACATTAAAATTTAATTCAAGTCATTTTCCCCATAGGATATCTGTAAATAATATTTTATTTAATTAGAGAATACATATTTTGTTGAGAAAATATTACTTGATCTGTCTCTCACTGCATACAAACTACGTCACGTTGTAAGAAATGGCGTCATATTGACAAGTGTATTGCGATCAGTGACTTGTTTATAACTTGTTCGGTGGGATTTATCTAACAACAAAACAACACGCTGTAGTAATTTTTGATGTAGTTTGATGATTTCTTACTGGTTAAATTAGCAGATAAACTCATTTTGTGGCATTTTAAAAAAATGTTGTTTGACGTATATTGTGTATGATGTCATAGTCAAGTTTTCCCGTACAAATTAGGCTCCGCCTTCTTTTTGTAACCTTAACTGTGCTGCGAAGCTTTTAAATCAAGCAGTTTGCAAAAACTGCTGGTTATTTATGTGCTTGCGTTCTCGGTGTTCGTAACATATTATTGTAAAAAAGCAAGTAAAAATTCATAGTTTTATATATCATATAAGTTCTGCATTATTATATTTGGAGACATATTATCTCATTTTCGATTTTTTGTAATGTGTGCATAATTAATGGAAAATTAAAGAAATAGCCTGAAATTCATATCATTCTCCGAGTCGACTCAGTCACCCAAGCATAATACCCATTCATAATTTCTTTTTTTAAAGATAAGATTAAATATATTGATAATGTTTTGCGGTGAATACAATAAAATTTTATCTATATTTCTTTTCAATTACATTTTGTTTTTATTACATTTTATGTCGCCTTAAATGCAGACATAAGATAAAGCAGAATATTATAATCAAACATTAAATTATAACAATATTTGTTATTCTTGACGAACAATGTAATAACCCAAAAGTTATTACATTTTACATTATTACATTCTGCCTTTTTTATCAATGCTAAATGTAATAACTCAAAATATAGTATTTCTAAAAGAATATTTTTATAATCTGCGTGTATTTCATCGCTAAGCGTGTCATTTAAAAATCCTTATCATCATATTATTTTTACAAGATTAAAGGTCAACGCATTTTCATATGTAAAGGTACTTTTTGGAAATCTGTGAAGTTCCATTTCATCTGATTAAATAGATCTCATGTTACTAACACAACATGCTAAACAACATATTTATGTCGAAAACACCATTGAGAAAATTTACTCCAGACTGTCATTTCATTTCATATACGGTTTGCAGCATCTTCCTAATTCATAAATACATAGATTTATCTCTTGAACTCTTGACAGTTACTTTGCTAATACATGTAATTGTTCGAGAATCTTATTTTCGATTGCCAATTTGTTCAAGTTCCTTAACGCGTTACTTTGCTTTCACAAGTTTGCAACAGTGAAATGGATTGATTCCCATTCGAGAATTTTTTACTCATGGAAAGACGTCACCATACACCGGTGAAAAGCTTAAAATTTTGACATTTACTCAGCATTCAGTCATTAAGCAGTGAGGGTTCTTTATCACGCCAACACCTGCCGTGACATGGAACCTCAGTTTTTAAGGTCCCATCCGAAGGACCCGGAACTTTCACTTCAAGTCACGAGTGCATGGCGAAGGAACTGTTGCTACCCTTTTTTTTATCGACTATGTCAGTCGCGGTCGAGATTCGAACTCACGGCCTCCCGTTCACGGAGCAAGCGCTCTGTAGACTGAGCAACCGTTTACGGTCGCAACAGTGAAGTGCACATTACGTTTTATGAAGTATTTTCTCATTTTACACATTTTAAACAATAAATTGTATCTTGACAGACGAGGCATCGTCCAAGTTAAACATTTTACCACTCCAAAATTATCAGTTTTATTATTTAAAAAGTGACGTCCTTCAACGTCATGGGTTTTTGGATGTTTAAACATTTTTGTCACATGTCGTTAGCAATTCATATCTTTTAAATGAAGTGATGTATAAAAATACCTTTTAGTATCTAAAGTAATAGAAAATGTACAATATTAAACATGTATCTAAGCTAAACAATTACATTTTACCTAGACTTTGTTCCATTTTTTATATTATACACTGTATACTGTATAAGTGGAAAGTAACTAAATTTTTACCCTGCTCCGTGACCATACATGTATTTCTTTGATCATTTTTTAACATTTTTTATGTTATGTATAAGTGATAAAAAACTAAATTTTGACCCTGCTTTGTGACCCGATTTCCTTGATAATTTTGATAAATTACGAAATATGTTTAATTCTTTTTCAATCATATAAATATGACATTTCACATGAAAGATATGGCAAAAGTCTACAAACTTTTTGAATCTCTCTCGTAAATATAATAAAACGGAATGCAATGATTCTGGTTAATTATATTTTGCGTTTGAAAGAATTCATGCAATTTTATGTTACTCCCTTGCACACTGTATTCATAAATTTCTCTTACCTTTACAGCATATATAGTTGAATTCATATTCATACAATATTCTTGACATAAGCCTATCGAAGCGTCTTCCTTCATGTCAAATATTTGAAGAGTATTGTATATAAAGTTTTCATCTTCAAAGCAACCTATATTTTTTGAATTAAAAAGAGAAAATTAATTTTATTACCAGTATGCATACCAAATTTATTCTCTAAATTTACTTGCTTTACCTAAAATGTTCATCATTTGGGAATATCTCTTGTGCTTTCCTGTCCAGTAATCGTCTACACTTGCAGATAAATTGGTCGTGAGTTGTTTTCCTTGATTTCGACAATTTTCTTGAGCACTAAACCAATCATTTACATTACCCTCTGGTAAAGTGTCTATCAAAGAGAATTTAAAAATAGACATCAGCTTTAAAGAAGCATCCTTTTAAATGTTTCTGATGAACTTCAGCTTAACAGAAGCAGGTCTGTTTTACAAGCAATTATCACCTATTTTTTCAATAAACAATTTTGAAAAAAAAAACAAAAGTATATGTTAAAGTACTTTATTTTTAAAAAATGCATGTTTAAAAAAAGTTTAAGCATGCACAAAAGGTATACAATGCAATTAAGCATTATTGAAATAGCATCTTTTCATTTCCGAAAAAAAAAATTAAATGCTTTCATACCAAGGCAATGTATATATATAAGACATGAGTTTTTGAAACCACTGGTATATTCTATAATTTTTTAAATGCAGTTAGCCTCTATTGTTATTAAACACACAGATCATCTTGTAATATTTACCGAATATAATAGTTGAAAAAAATGTAATTTTGCAGATCCATTCCATGGCCGATCCAAACCCTTGAATTCCGAAGATATCAAACTTTCTACAATGTCCTGTAAAAGAATTTGTATCTTTACGAATATTGTCCCATGTACATGTATCTATCATATCATAGAAACAAAAGAAATCCATTTATAATTCTGGATATACACATGGATAAGATTACACGGGTGTAATTAGAAGCAGGAACACAATACGAGGGTTGTCCCAGAAAAAAGCCAACTTTTTGAATATTTTTTTTTTTTTACTTTCAAAACAATCATTGTCAATGAAGATGTCTTTATTATCAAATTTCATGGAAATATAATGTCGCAAAATTCACCTTCATAAATGCTCTAGGGTCTGATGTACTTGTGTATAAAATTCAATAAATTTGACATCATTAATGACAAAGACATGGTTTTATGTTCCACAGTACTTTTAATCCGACGTTGTTGAATTTGTGATTCATGGCAATAATGTGGAGCACCAGATATGTAGCAGCACAATGTTGATCCTAGTCTATAGGAGGGGAAATATTAGTCTTAGGCACCGGTTTATTTCAAGCTGAAAGGGTTTGAGGTTGACTTGACTGGTTATCGGATATAGGAGAATAGACCAATCATATGAAGATAAACTGAAAAGACCGGAGCTGGACGTCATAGGCCTACGTGAAACTCTGTTAAACAATGCGAACAGTGCGGGTAATGATCTGGATTAGCAATCTATCTATTGAAAGAATGAAGTCTGCAATTTACGTGCACCAATAGTATTTGAAATTAAATAACCTATTAAATAAAAAAATGAAATAGTTCCGAATTAATGCTTAAATGAATGTTCTTATCGGCACATTTTTAAAAACAAATTCATAAACCCTAAGCCGTAACAAAAAAAATACTATAGTAAACTATAGTTAACTATTATAAAGTTTACTATAGTAATTCAGAGTTCCAAAGTTTTCACCATAGTCAATCAAAGTTCCAAAGTTTTCACCATAATAAATCAAAGTTCCAAAGTTTCTACAATAGTTAATCAAATTTCCAAAGTTATTACTATGGAAAATCAAAGTTCCAAAGTTTTTACTATAGCAAATCAAATTAACAAAGTTTTTGTATTTTGTTTTAATTTTTTTTATTATTATTAGTCTGTTTTAAGGGGGATGATATTGGTTTGTTTAGGCTTGTTTTGTTGTTCATATTAATTCAAATATACAAAGTAATTAATTTAAATTCAATATTTACATTTAACAGTAGAAAAAAGTTATCTGAAGTTAAGGAAGCAAATATTTTGATTCTAAATGAAGGATTTTTTCTCTTTTAATATATTTTCCTCACAAATAATAAAACATATTTCTTATTTATCGGTATAAGAGCATTTTGTACATTAAAATTCATTTCTTGTGCTTTGTTATTTAGGGGACAGGTCATATTTTTTAAACGTTCTCAGAAACTTAAATGAATCTTATTCTTGAAATTTCTTAAAATGTACTGAATGGGAAGTAGAAACATAATTCCAAAGGTTTAACAGTACTTAACCAAAGTTCCAAATTTTTTACTATAATAAATCAAAGTTCCAAAGTTTTCACTATAGTTTATCAAAGTTCCAAAGTTTTCACCATAGTAAATCAAAGTTCCAAAGTTATTATTATAGTAAATCAATGTTCCAAAATTTTCACCATAGTAAATCAAAGTTCCAAAGTTATTACTATAGGAAATCAAAGTTCCAAAGTTTTCACCATAGTTAATCAAAGTTCCAAAGTTTTAACTTTCGTACTATAGTTAACTATAGTAAACTATAGTGTTTACTATAGTATTTTTTTGTTAGGGTACGAGCGATGTGATTCGTCAACTGATTCATTTGATCTCTTTGATTTGAGGAAAATATTATTTATAGGGATACTTCACTTATACTTTTACACATTATTAAAACAAGAGGCCCAGGGGCCAAGTCGCTCACCTGAGCAGTTGGCTAGAAAAAAGCACATATGAGATCAGAACTTAAATTTTTCTGTTATTGGGGGGGGGGGGGCTTGAATTCCCCCCCCCAGGGGTCATAATTTGAACAAACTAAGATCTACACTACCTGAGGATGATTCCCTTTAAATATCACTAAGCATGGCTTTGAAGTACTTGAAAATAAGAATTTAAAACTTTTCCCTATACATTGCATTTGAATCTACACTACCTGAGGATGATTCCACATGAGTTTCATCTTTCCTGGCCAAGTGGTTCTTGAGAAGAATATTTTAAAAGACTTTCCTATCTATTCCTATTAAAATTTTTATCAGCCATTTTGGCCCCACTCTTACCCCCGGGGGCCATAATTTGAACAAACGTGAATCTACACTACCTGAGGATGATTCCACATGAGTTTTATCTTTCCTGGCCAAGTGGTTCTTGAGAAAAAGATATTTTTTTTTATTTAAATACCATTAATTTTTCTCTAATTCGTTATTATCTCCCCTTTAAAAAGGGCTTGGCTCTTCATTTGAACAAACTTGAATCCTCTTAAACCAAGGATACTTTGTTGCACGTTTGGTTGAAATTGGCCCAGTGGTTCTTGAGAAGAAGATGAAAATGTGAAAGATATACAACAGCGACGACGACAATAACAACTACGACGACAATGACGACAACGCCTACAACGGCGACAACGACGACGACGACAGACAACGGACAAATTTTGACCAGAAAAGCTAAAAATGATGATCATAATGCCTGCAAATTTTGAACTTTGTAGTATAAAGTTTATACTAAAGTTATAGCATCATCGCAAAACACGGCCAAAATATACGACCCTCTCCCATTCTAGCAGTGGTTGAATGAGAAGAGAATTTCTCGTAGTTCATTAAATTATTGACCAATGCGTGTAAAGCATAGTCTGATAATGAACATTGATGTGACCTTTCAATACCCAATCGCATTATACGAATTAATTCTTGTATACTGCTGTTGTAAATTGTTGATTTCAGTTGCGATGGAAACACAACTTGTCATTGACTGAATATGACGTCACAATAGAGAGGCGTAATTCATGATTACGACACTTTTTGTGATCAAGCAGCCACATATAGGAGAGAGCTAAATGCAGACTCCGGACCGTGGCTTGAGATTATGAGTACGTGTATATAGTAGCTTTACAATTCAACCATAAGATGTGGTAAATGTGATTCACTTTGCTTCAGGTGTTGTGTAACGTGTCGAGCGGAATATAAGATAGCAATCGGGGATCGTGCCTTGTCGATTCAAGGTTTTGGGGGATGATTTCCAATATAATATAATTTTTCTTAATAAATGATTGACAAATGATTGATTACAAATGCCTGCAAAATATACAAACAAATCACGTTAATATTTAATAGTAAATCAAATAATTACAAATGATTAAGCAAATGGCAGTGGGTAGGCTATTTCTAATGCTGGCCAACCTCGGGCTGATGCTTGTACTGCAGCCTTATTCAGGACACAGTCAGTACAAGTGACAGCCCTTCAACTGCTATGCACACTGCTAGCCTTATTCAGGCAGACACACTGCACACAACAGCCTGGTTGCCGTAAGGTTCAACAATCGTAAGACGAATTACAGTTGAGGTGGCTAACCTCCGTTGCTGGTTAGCCGCTGAGTGGCCACTCCAAAACATAACAGCCTTTATTAATTCTCAATTCCTGTAGACTAAACCTTATTTATTTTTAAATAATGGTGGACTTCTTCTGTAAGCTGACTTTATTTTGTTAAGTCTCACTTACTGCTGTTATGGTTCACACACGTCTTACTCTTAGCACAGCTTGCGCTGGAATGAACACTCTGTAACGTGAATTCAGTCTTTATATACCTTTTAAAGAGGATGTTTACCCTCGCAACTTAATAACTGAATCTATATGATAACAATATAAATTTTCGGAATATTACAGTTGCTTTAGTTTTAGTCTATATATTAAATGTATATGAACAATTTTACAGTCATGCATTGTGGTCGCATTTTATTTTTTTATTTTTTGTAAAAAAAAAATAAATAAAAGGATGAAAATGTTTGATTGTTTGTCTATTATTTATTGTTCCTCCAGGAAATTTTTCAGTGAAATGAAGAAGTTACCACTTGCCAGTGGAGAATTGTTTACCTTTACTCGGCACTCATGGCAATTGAGTAGTGAGGGATATTTTTGTTCCAGTATCTAAGTACTGCAACAGGGAACCTTAGTTTTACTCTTATCTGAAAAACAGTCACCATAGTATAATTCGAATGATTATTAGCAGTTTAGGCAATAAATATTGCATAAACACATTTTTCCTGAAGAATAAACTTAAGTCCCCCCCCCCAACAATTTAATTTTTTCCAGATAAGATCTTGAAAGGCAAACGCTGGCAGCAATTCTTGATCGTTGGGATTTCTGTAGTGACACTTTTATCGAGTAACGAAAAATGATAAATTCCTTTCCTCCAACTTATTGTACTTACATTGAAGTACATTGTATAGTTCCGGTTGATTGTGTCCTGAGATTATTAATACTTGACTTTTATATTTACAGGACACGTGCACTTCCAAATAAAACAATACTTTAAATTCTTTTTGCACATGTAGGAAGTTAGAAAAAAAGATACTTACATGTGAAATCTCAACAAAACATTAAAATGTTCATAGTGAGCGTCTGCGGTATATCGATCATATATATATATATATATATATATATATATATATATATATATATATATATATATATATATATATATATATATATATATATATATATATATATATATATATATATATATATATATATATATATATATATATATATATATATATATATATATATATATATATATATATATAATTTAAAAACAAAATGAAGAATCGGTACAGTTTTTGGTATATTTAAAAGTAGAAATCCAAAAATATCACAAAACATTTACTGCAAGCGCAAGTTATAACTGCCTGAAGAGCCAAACATGGCGAAAGTGCTTGCAGTAAATGTTTTGTGATATTTTTGGATTTTTACTTTTAAATATATATATATATATATATATATATATATATATATATATATATATATAAAGCACATTTTCCAACAACTCTTAAACTAACATAACTGCCCTAAGTGAAGAAATATTAATATAGAAAGCACAAAGAAATTCACTTTTACATGGATACCCACTTCCGCCCCAGCCCGGGGTTGAACTCTCGACCTTCGGAATCTGTCTCCTAGCAGTGCAGGAACAGCGCGCTAGACCGCTCGGCTATCTAGGCAAGTTAAAAAAAACTTGCTTTCGATGCCGATGGAATTCTTGCGGCGCTGCCCTACACTACACGGTCATTGAGAATAGAAGTGAGATACAGTTATTTGGACATTAGTTTCTATATTAATATTTCTTCACTTAGGGCAGTTATGTTAGTTTAAGAGTTGTTGTAAATGTGCTTTATAAATAATAATTAATTTCATTACAACATGTATTGGTAACAATCCTCTGTTAAAACTAATGTCCAAATAACTGTATCTCACTTCTATTCTCAATGACCGTGTAGTGTAGGGCAGCGCCGCGAGAATTCCATCGGCATCGAAAGCAAGTTTTTTCGACTTGCCTAGATAGCCGAACGGTCTAGCGCGCTGTTCCTGTACTGCTAGGAGACAGATTCCGAAGGTCGAGAGTTCAACCCCGGACTGGGGCGGAAGTGGGTATCCATATAAAAGTGAATTTCTTTGTGCTTTCTATATATATATATATATATATATATATATATATATATATATATATATATATATATATATATATATATATATATAATGAAAAAAGTCAGAAATCACAAATCTCGAAAATCATAGAGAGGTTAAGCATTTGAACGTGTACGTCTACGTGTACGTGTAAACTTAGAAGTAATTTCACACGTACACGTAACTAACGTCATGGCCTGTTTAACAAACTGTACGTGTACGTGTACGTGTTAAACATTTCGTTAAAACATATTTCATTGGATAAAAAATCGAAATAAACGAATCAAAATGAGTGTTTCTTCTCTGTTATTGTAACTTAAAATGGCGCAAAATTTGATGTTACTTGCGTGTCTGGAGGAGGATGATGACCTTCTTTTGTTGGCGAGTGTGGACGATGAAAAAGATTCGTCAGTCTATCAGAAATTAGAGATTGATGAACTAAGCAATGACCAGTTCCGAAATTTGTTTAGATTTCAAAGAGAAGATATGAATAGTTTGTGCGAAGCGTTAGATTTCCCAAGCAAGATTGTGTGCCCAAACAGGACTGTGTGTTCTGGAACAGAGGGTTTGTCTATTCTCATTCGCCGATTAGCGTACCCAAATAGATTGCAAGACCTCTCGCATATATTTGGAAGATCAACTGCTGAATTGTCCTATATTTTTAACACTGTGCTCAATTTCATCGATACAAGGCACGGGCACAGAATTGAGAGATTAAATCACCCTTGGTTGTCGCACGCAAAGCTGGATGAAATGGCCACGGCAATAAGTAACTGCGGAGCCCCGCTGTCTAATTGCTGGGGTTTTATAGACGGGACGGTGAGGCCAATTTGCAGACCCCAATCTTATCAGCAGCTAGTGTTTAATGGCCACAAGAGAGTCCATGGTCTAAAGTTCCAATGCATTACGACACCTGACGGAATGATAGCGCATCTCTTTGGTCCTATTGAAGGTCGACGTCATGATGCCGGTATGTTACGAGAAAGCGACGTTGAGCATCAACTGCAACAATATATGACAAAGGCAAATAATGATGTGTACTCCCTCTACGGTGACCCTGCATACCCTCTATCGCCTTACCTAATACCTCCATTTCGAGGAGGGGTAATCTCAGCGAATCAGATGCGCTTTAACAAAAGGATGTCGGCAGTGAGAGTGTGTGTTGAATGGACTTTCAGCAAAATTTTGAATCTCTTTGCTTTTCTTGATTATAAGAAGAATCAAAAGCTGTATTTACAGCCTGTTGGAAAATATTATAGAGTTGCGTCAATCCTGACAAATTGTCACACTATACTCTATGGGAGCGAGACCGGTACATTCTTTGGCATAGATCCGCCATCCCTACAAGAGTATTTGGCCTAATACTTCCACCAACTACTAAATACATGTATGTTTACATGAAAATAGATGGTTACATGGAAAGGAACTAAACAGAACATATTTTAAATATGCATTAATTTATTAATGTGTATAATTTATGTTATCGCGTACAATTCTTGTTTATTTATCTTTCGTTAATTTCTTCAATAAATCAATAAAAGCAAGTTTTTCCTGCTTTTCGATCTCCATTCTTTGCATCCTCTCCTGTCTATCCAAATCAAATCTGGCTTTTTCCAATTTTAGTTGCTCCTTCCTGAACTCCATTTCGTCGTTTTTTGTTTTCATTTCAAGCTCTGTTTTTTCTTTTAAATAGTCGACGATGCAAGTTTGTGAATTTTTCCTTTTAGGTGCTCCACACTCATCATCTGAAAAAAAAATTAATATTTTTTAAAACAAATATATGCACCTTTAAATATATACAATGGAGATATATGTGATCAAAAAGTGTTATAGTTAACACAACAAATCATTACTGTCGTGTGTGTGTGGGGGGAGGGGGGGGGGTACAGTAACCTATGAAAAAAAACTAAATGTAGTTTGTAATTTTAGCCTGTAATTTACTTGTAATTGCAAATAATTTACCGGTAATTATCAGAGAATACACAAATTAAAATATTATGAGATGATGTAAGCAGAAAAGGTTTCAAAAATACCAAATCAACGTGATATATCATTAATATGTAGAGAAGACAAGTACATACGCATACCTTTCTTTGGTGTTAAACACTCTAGGGCCCTCTTTCTTATCTCCTTCCCCATGTTATCAGATCTTTCTTTCTTTTCTTTTTCTTCTTTCTTTCCCCGTTCCTCCTCATCTTTTAACTCAAGAATTTCGTCAAGCAGAGTGGTTTTTTCCGTCACTTCCTCATCAACACCAGATCTATAAAAAGGTATTAAAATGAGTTTTCAAACTGTCTAATGAATTACAAAATCAGATTTCATCTACCTTTTATTGTCAAAGATTTTAAGAATTTTCTGTAAACAAAGGGCGGATACAGCCAAAATAAATACCGGAAGGAAATTAATTTTTTATTGACAGAGAGAAAAATAATTCAAATAGAGACATTGGTACCTTCTGAGATTCTCTAGGTTTTCTCTTTTATGCTGTTCAATGAGTAAATTCGCCCTCTCTCTTACTCTCCTTGCATCTAAAATAAAATTAGGGGACGACAGGGTTGATGCGATCTCTGCCCATTTACTCTTGTCTTTTATGGGATTTTTGGCGACAATTTCCCTCAAAAGCCGAATGTCATCCTCACTTTTAAATCGAATTTGTTTTTTCCTCTCAGTATTCATTTTTCCCTATATTTAAAGATGAAAAAATGCATGTAAATATATATAGAAATTGTGATGATTAAATATAAGGCTATAAAGAAAAGGGGGAAATATGGTTTATTTTGTATTCTAGAAATAACCTAGCTCGTACTAACGATACCACCCCCCCCCCTCAAAAAGAATACTGGAGGACGATTTGTCCCCTCTTTTGGCTTGTAAAATTTAACATGGATTAAAATAAATAATCAACCTTTGATCATTTTATTAAAACATGAAAAATAGGGCCTATACAGTGTTTTCCCCAGAAAATTTTTGATGCATGGGGGGAATTTTCACTGAATTGACAGCGCGCGGCATGTCTCGGTTAAGTTAATTGTACATGTATTTAAATGTTAATATGTATTTACATGAAAAATACAAATTCAATCATTATTTTTCTCTATTTTGCTCTATCAAAATTTTCTATAAAGCCATTGTCTTTTTACTGTTTTGTGTATTGTGTTATTTTTGCTTTCTACAAATAGAACCCTGTAGTGACATCCACCTTTTTATTATTACAAACTTATGTCCCTACTTTAGTCTTTTGCAGTCTACTTGAAATTAAAAGGGTGATCATTAATACGTAGCACTAATGCTTACATGTAAATTTTGTGACAACTTATTTGCTTTCATTTCATGTTTGATTTTTCCCGCTTTTGAATATGTGTGAAGGTCACTTTGTATTAAAAGCATATGTTTGAACTAAGTACCTCCCCATAGTTTATAAAGTAAATAAACATTGATAATGTTAATTAGACATGTTTATTTTCAGCACTTTAATGCAAAAGATGTCTTAAATATTATGAGTTTAACTAATGAAACAGTTTTTATGTCGGAGCATCAATGCTATTTATAGAACGACCTGTGAATGTTGGAAAAACCCACATGTGCATTACCAAGTGTATTGCTTTTACCGTGTATACTATCTGACAGCAATTAGTTACTTTTCATGATTATAAATTAAATTTTTAACCAATTAAAAGCATGATACTTATTAACATACCAATAAATTGCAATAAACAAACATTGACAGCTAGGTCTAGATATTGCATCATACCCCGTGCCGTGATTCGCATCAAGTTCACAACAGGTGCTCAGTACACGCGAGGATTCTAGTGATTTGAATTGTTTTATTGAAATATTTGTAACTGATATCATTCACATGGTACACAATTAATAATTCATGCATAGCGGGAAGCATGGCGGCAACATGTGATGCATGGCGGGAGATCGTGAATGCATGGCGGTACCGCCATGCAAAAACGGCCTGGGGAAAACACTGCTATATAGACCAAAATTGCACTTGATCTATAGTTTCAACCAGACGCTCGGCTGTCTCCGTAAATGGAGTCATTCCCGTCTCTTAAATGTTATGCATGAATTTACAGAATATTGACCAACACATGTAACAACAATAAATATAAAAATAATTAGTTCTAAAAGTTATGAAAGTATAAAGAAATATCATAAGAGTCATCAAAACACGTCGGAATCTTTCACGGGTAAATCGAAGTGACGTCATTTCAACAAGTCACTTTACAATCCATTTTAATCAAAATTATTCTATGAAGTTGATCAATAAAATCACATAGATGTACGTAATAAATTCTCTACATCACAATAAACCACAGCTGTAAAAGATATATTCTATAATTTAAGTTTAAGAAGCTACAAGTTCTTACTTACGTGTACTTACAGATCCACACGTTGTTTACAACTTGTAGAATTACGCGGTATGCAAAACTGATGACGTAAATCGCAGTAAATTAGGGGATTTCCCTAGCTACACGTACACGTAGACGTACACGTTCAGATGCTTAACCTCTCTCATATTTACTGTTAGCGCTTTCTAACTAATGGCTCTTCAGACAGTTAAAAGTTGAATATAAAATTGCTTAGTAACGTTCATTAGCACGACCTCAAGTATTGTCCATTGTGACGTCAAAATAACGTTAAAAGGTAGCATTATATTTCGCACCGTTACAATCACTGAAATAAACCAAAAAACAAGTAGAAAATAACTTTAGTTAAAACTGAAGTAATTATTTTCTGTTAAGTTTTGGGTTAAATAGTTTTATGAAGTAGTCCTTCTTTGCTACTCTGAATATTTCACAGTCATTGTGCATTTTATAAAATGGAAATAATTTAAATTTCCCTTTCCCACAGGTAGCAAAGTGCTCACTGCACGGCGTATTCCTTACGCTAGGGTCCCGAATTTGTTGTTTATGGACTCGCACTCGTGCATTCAGTTTGCCGGTTTGTCCTATGTAGTTTTCATCACAGGTCGGACAGGTTATGCAGTAAATAACATTTTCTGATTTACAGGTCATGTTGGCGTTTGGTGTTATATTTTTACCATATTTTAAAGTTTTTTCGCTTCCCTCCTCCAGATATTCACATGTTCCACAACGTGGGTCACCGCACTTTTTGACGACTTTGGCATTGTTTGTTGCAAATCTTGCTCTGGTTAGGATTTTCTTCAGATTGGGTGCCTGTCTTCTGCTATTAATAATTTGAGACTCCTTGATAATGTCTTTTAGATTCTGAGTATGTTCTAAAATGGGAAAAAATCTCCTGGCTGATCTTAAAATATTGTGGTTGCGCACCAATATTTGGCTTTCTATTCATGTCACCCATCACATACCAAGCGTAATATTCCATACAACATGGCAAGACGCATATGCACAATAGTAACCGATACAACTTTACGCTCGAAAAGGTTAGAAGAATTTCTTTTGTTGTGACGCACAATCCACGCAACCACAGATTTGCAACAAACAATGCCAAAGTCGTCAAAAAGTGCCGTGACCCACGTTGTGGAACATGTGAATATCTGGAAGAGGGAAGCGAAAAAACTTTAAAATGTGGTAAAAATATAACACCAAACGCCAACATGACCTGTAAATCAGAAAATGTTATTTACTGCATAACCTGTCCGACCTGTGATGAAAACTACATAGGACAAACCGGCAAACTGAATGCACGAGTGCGAGTCCATAAACAACAAATTCGGGACCCTAGCGTAATGAATACGCCGTGCAGTGAGCACTTTGCTACCTGTGGGAAAGGGAAATTTAAATTATTTCCATTTTATAAAATGCACAATGACTGTGAAATATCCAGAGTAGCAAAGAAGGACTACTTCATAAAACTATTTAACCCAAAACTTAACAGAAAATAATTACTTCAGTTTTAACTAAAGTTATTTTCTACTTGTTTTTTTGTTTCTTTCAGTGATTGTAACGGTGCGAATTATAATGCTACCTTTTAACGTTATTATGACGTCACAATGGACAATACTTGAGGTCGTGCTTATGAACGTTACTAAGCAATTTTATATTTAACTTTTAACTGTCTGAAGAGCCATAAGTTAGAAAGCGCTAACAGTAAAAATGATTTTCGAGATTTGTGATTTCTGACTTTTTTCATTCGATATAATTTACTGTACCAAAACACTGAATTTTTCTTAAATTATATATATATATATATATATATATATATATATATATATATATATATATATATATATATATATATATATATATGCAGAATTTTGCGAATATCTTAAGAGAAACTGTAAAAGATATCTGGATGATTGTTTTATTATATATATTTATAAAAGTTACGGTAAACACGTTGGTTTGTTTACGGAATTTGGGGGCGTGGCTGTATCGAAGATCGATTGGCTTAAGATTTCGCGGTTCTGTAGGTTAAAATCATGCTAGGCATGTATATTGTATTGGGTTGTATTAAGGGGCTTTTAAGTCATTCGAAGTTTCGCTGCTTTAAGTGCAACAGCTACTAGTACTAATGTCGAAGCAAAAAGATTTTTTGGCTGATTATCGGCAACCTTCAGACGAAGATTCCTTGCTGAATGACATTCCTTCTGTCCATAAGGATTCTACGCAGAATTTGGACACCCCTGTCGTTATTCCGCAGACAGAGAAACCCTCGTCAGACCTGGCCGACACCTTTAATCTCTTCAAGACGTATTTAGACTCAAAGCTGAACACTCTGAAGGAAGAACTTTCTGTGGGTAACGATTTTGACGATTTGGCTAAGAAACTCAAGAAAGACGTTTCTGTGTCTTTTAAACACGAAGGCAACAAGATTCAATTTGAATTCAATTCTGAAATTCTGAACGATTTATCTAAAGTACAGAAAAAGTTGTCAGTTAAAGATTCTGCTTCTGCTGCCATTATTTCTTCTGTTATTAACAAGATTAACAAGAGAAACAAGCTCATTCGTATAGCAGATAAATCACCAGCGGGTTGGACTACTGTAAGAGAATACGAGAGTGATGACCTCGCCTCTAATTCGGACGACGAAAAACGTATGCGACAGGCAGAGAATAGGGCGCTCCGGGTACTCAGAGAGAAACGAAGATTCAAGCCTTATTCCAACAGGAATGCATCAGCGACGATTTCTGCTCCTCCTGACCGTAGGCCTACTCCTTCTCAGCAGCCCTTTCGTTTCTCAAGGCGTCGTGAAGCATCCCCATACGACATCTGTTACAACTGTAGAAAATACGGGCACTGGAAGTCGCAATGCACAGCAACCCCCAAATCAAGTTCCCAATCTCAGGCCACAAACAATTCAAGTACCCAGTAAATCAATTGAAAAGTATGACATTTTTGTTCATGATTCAATTTTGAACGAGCAAATTGATTTGTTTTTGAATCAAGTAGATTATTTTGAAAAATTACCTGTTTATGGCAAAGGTGTTAAAGGAAACTTAGCTAAGCATGTTGAATACTGGAAAAGTATTGGTGCTAGCGATTTTGTTATTGATACCATTAATAACGGTTATGTAGTTCCTTTTCAGACGGCACCACCTCCAATGAAGTTCAAGAATAATAAGTCAGCTCTTGAAAATGTTGAATTTGTAAATAGTTCGATTTCAGATCTGTTAGAATCCGGCTGCATTGAGAAAGTTCCTTTCCAGCCTTTTGTTGTTAGCCCACTTAGTGTTGCAGTTAACAAAGGTTCGGGTAAAAAGAGGCTAATTTTAGATTTGAGCGAATTGAATAAATTTGTAGATAAAAAGAAAGTAAAGTTTGAAGATTGGAATGTCGCTTTGAATTTTTTCCAAAAAGAATGTTTTCTTTTTAAATTCGATTTAAAATCAGGATACCATCATATTGATTTATGTAGAAAACAGCTGACATATTTTTCGTTTTGTTGGAATGACCAGTTTTATTGTTTCAATGTTTTAGCGTTCGGTTTGACTTCAGCACCTTATATTTTTACCAAGTGCCTTAGACTATTGGTGAAACACTGGAGGAACCATGGTATTGACATTGTTCTTTACCTTGATGACGGGTTTGGTTTTGGTAACAATTACGAAAATTGTTTGAAAGCTTCGAATTTTGTTCGTAATTCTCTTGTTCAAGCAGGTCTATTAATCAATGTTGAAAAGTCAGTATTTCAGCCCAAACAGTCTATGGAGTGGCTTGGCTTGATATGGGATTCCAAGACAGTATCTTTAAGTATACCGGAAAGAAGAATAGCGGATGCTTCAGATTCTTTGAAATTTATAATGAATACTTTTCCTTTGATTACAGCCAGAGAACTAGCCAGGTTTGCAGGTCAGATTATTTCGATGTCACCTGTTTACGGAAATGTTTGTAGTTTGATGACAAGACATATTTATTTAGCAGTGGAGAGCAGAGCTCATTGGGACAAATTTATAAATTTTGAATTTCCAGACATCGTCAAAACAGAACTGAAATTTTGGTCACAAAATTTGTTTAAGCTGAATCTTAGGCGTTTAATTCAAGAATCTTTGCCTTTTACAATAGCGTTTTCAGATGCTAGCAATGTTGCTGCTGGTGCTTACACTGTTGAAATGAACGAAAATGTTTTCCATCATGTTTGGTCAGAAGCTGAATCTTTGATGAGTTCAACTTGGAGAGAGTTAAGAGCGATTCAATTAGCTTTATTTTCTTTTTCCAGTTCACTCCAAGGCAAGTCTGTGCGGTGGCACACAGACAACCAAAACTGCGTAAGAATTGTCCAGAGAGGCAGTACAAAAATTCATTTACAAGATCTAGCATTTAGTATATTTTCTATTTGTGCAGAATCTGGTATTTCTTTGAATTTAGTTTGGATTCCAAGAGAGCTGAATAGAAAAGCTGATTACATTTCTAATGTTATTGATTTTGATGATTGGCAAACTAACACAGAGTTTTTTTTAATTAATTGATAGCATGTGGGGTCCACATACGGTGGACAGATTTGCTAATGCCCAAAATGCCAAATTACAGAGATTCAATTCTTTATTTTGGTGTCCTACTACAGAGGCTGTAGACGCTTTTTCGAAAAACTGGAAATTCGAAAATAATTGGCTAGTTCCACCCATCTCTTTGGTTTCTCGAGCAATTAAGCATTTACAATTCTGTAGAGCTAGTGGTACGTTAATCGTTCCAAAATGGCCATCATCTCCTTTTTGGACTATGTTGTTTGGTCAAAATATGACATTCAAGAATTTTGTGATTGATGTACTAGAATTTGAGCCACATCAAAATGTGTTTTGTCATGATACGAATAATAAAAGCCTTTTTGGCTCAAGTTATTTCAATTCTAGAGTACTGGCTGTGAGGATTTGCTGTGAAACAGTTTATATATGGCCCTTTTTTAGATTGTCTTAAAGAAGCTGGCAAGGTCTAAGAGTATTAATTTGTGTTAGACATGGCCCTTTCAAGAAATGTCTTGATGAAGATGGCAAGGTCTAAGAGTGATAATTGTGACTGAAATTTTTGTACAGATCGATTTTTTGATGCAGACACGGCCCTTTCAAGAGTTTGTCTTGATGAAGCTGGCAAGGTCAAAGTTATATGTATATAGATTTTGTTGATACAAGTATCGCTTTATATGCACAGTACTGAACATATTTTAAAAAAAATTGTATTGGTGGGTGTTTGGACAAGGCCATTTCATTTATGTCGGCAGGTCCTGATATATTGAATTTAATTTAACAGTGCATTGTACAAAATAGCGGTTATGGGTTTATAGGACAAAGCCTTATTTGGCGAGGTCCTGATATTCTAATAATTGGTATTTTAGTATTATTTTTCTTTTTTAATTCATCAGTTTTGCAGATATCTTTAAATCGGGCAAATGGGCATCTTCCTGGAAATGTGTGAATCCACAGTTAAAGAAACTAGCTGACAAACTCCCTTCTGTGTGTGAAAAATCAAAGGCGGAAAATACTAAGAAACAATATTCAGCTGCATTCAACAGATTCTGTAAGTGGTGTTCTAGTTATCAAATTTCTCCACTTCCTGCTTCAGATTATAATATTTCATTGTACTTGGTCAAACTTAGTGAAACTTGTAATTCAGTGAATACAATCGATGAAGCGTTTTATGCTATTACTTGGGCACATAAACTATCTGGGTACCCGAATCCGTGTTCCTCGGATCTCGCAATTCTCACCAGGGAAGGATGTCACAGATCAATTGGTCACCGATCTAATAACAAAAAGGAACCTATTACACCTGAAATTCTTAAAAGCATATGTGTATTGTATGGGAAGGAAACGTGTAACTTATTAGACCTTAGAATCGCATGTATGTGTATTTTAAGTTTCACAGGTTTTTTGAGGTTCTCAGAGTTAGTTAATATTAGAATGTGTGACAAAAGCCTTTATGATGATCATATGACAATTTTTATACAAAAAAGTAAGACTGATCGTTATATGAAAGGAAGTACCGTGTACATATCAGGTACTGGTCGTGTTACATGTCCTATTATCATCACGAAAAGATATTTAGAGAAAGCCAAGATTTCACCTTGTTCAAATGAGTTTATTTTTCGTTCTATAAATTTTTGTAAAAAATCAGGTATGTGTTCCTTAATAGGACATAAAAGTTTGTCATATACCCGAGCTAGGGAAATTTTATTGTCTGCGCTTGAATTTATTGGGTTAGATAAGAGCAAATTTGGTTTGCATAGCCTTCGTGCAGGCGGTGCTACTGCAGCCGCTAATTCTGGAATTTGTGACAGACTTTTTAAAAAGCATGGCAGATGGCGATCAGATTCAGCTAAAGATGGTTATGTAAAAGAGAATTTACAGCAGAAATTATTTGTTACAAAAGGTCTCGGTATTTAGGGGGAGGGGTGTTTTTTGTACTTTTAATCTTTTCTTTATCGTCGAAGTCTGTTGCACTCGCGCATGCGAGCTCATCCTATATATTGGTGTTTGAGTTTTTATTTATAAATAATTTATGTTCGTTTGAACTGGTGAATTTAGAACATAAATATATTTATAAAAGTTACGGTAAACACGGTTTGTTTACGGAATTTGGGGGCGTGGCTGTATCGAAGATCGATTGGCTTAAGATTTCGCGGTTCTGTAGGTTAAAATCATGCTAGGCATGTATATTGTATTGGGTTGTATTAAGGGGCTTTTAAGTCATTCGAAGTTTCGCTGCTTTAAGTGCAACAGACTCCCCCCCCCCCACCCCTCCCTAAGTATATTATTTTGTATGGTTTTTCTTTTCATGAATGTGTTCATTAAATTATCGTTTCTCTTTTGTAGAACGGGATGATTACTTGTATGTGACGAAGATTTATTTATGTTATCATGATTGTAAAATTAAAAAGCTGTTGCACTCGCGCATGCGAGCTCATCCTATATATTGGTGTTTGAGTTTTATTTATAAATAATTTATGTTCGTTTGAACTGGTGAATTTAGAACATAAATGGAAAAAAGATGATTCAGATTTGAATATATTAAATGATATTTTAAATGAATTAGACCCAGATATTAAATTTACAATGGAAAAAAGTTTTACTCAATTACCATTTTTCGATGTATTAATCTGTAAGGAAAACAACAAAATTGCAACAGATATATTTTATAAGAGTACTGACACTCATCAATATTTGCATTCTGGATCTTCCCACCCACGACACATTAAAAGAGCAATACCTTACAACCTAGCCCGACGAATAAGCACAATAGTAAGTGAGGAGGAAACCAGAAATCAACGTCTGGATGAATTGAAAATATATGTCACAGACCAACATTATCCTTTAAGCTTAATTAACGACGGCATCAGAAAAGTTAAGGAATTAGATAGAGAAGAATTATTTAATCCAACTCATAATGATGAGGAAAATATTAAAATATTACCACTAGTCACAACTTACAATCCTAAAAACCAAAATATTACACCTATCGTTCGAAATCTCATCGAAATTCTTAAAACGGATGAAGAAATGTCAAATGTTCATTCAAAATTCAAGTTTATAAACAGCAAAAGGCAGCCCAAAAACCTCAGAAGAATACTCTGTCCTTCCAAAATAACGAAATCTACAAAATCCATTACAAAGTGTAAAGATCTGCGATGTGGCACATGTTCTGATTTAAGAGAAGGAACGTCATTCAATTTCAAAGAAAAAGATTTCTTTATTAATTCAGACATGACATTTGAGTCCAAAAATTTAATATATGTTATTACTTGCGGAGGATGCAACCAATTCTACATCGGTGAAACGGTGACCACATTGAGAGCCAGAATTCGGGTGCATAAACAGCATATTCAAGTTCCTGAGTACCGTAAGATCAAACTCAGCGAACACATTCATAGATGTGGACAAGGACAATTTAAAGTGTTTCCTTTTTACAAACTTTTTCAAGACAATATAACTGAAAGAAGAGAAAAAGAGAAATACTTTATTCAAAAATTTAATCCCAGTCTTAACAGTTTGATTCAATTTGATTTCTGACAAAACTTTCCCACAGAGTTTAACCTTTCGATGTTTTCCGGCTAAGAGTATAAACACATGTCGGATTTGGTTTCGAAGGTGTGAACATTCTGCAAGCATTTAATTGCTTGCTGTCAGATTCAATCTTAGATAATGATTTTTAAAGTATTAATAGTTTTGTAAGACACTGCAGTCAGGATAAAGTATGCATTTGTAAAACGTCTGAATGTGTAATGAAAGCGCTAACGTTTTAATCTGTGTTGCCTTTTTTATTTTAATTTTTTTAGATAGATAGCTAGACAGATAGACAGATAGACAGATAGACAGACAGACAGACAGATAGATAGATAGATAGATAGATAGATAGATAGATAGATAGATAGATAGATAGATAGATAGATAGATAGATAGATAGATAGCGCATTTTTGTGTGACTTCAG